GCGCGGCTTGGCCCAGCATTGAGACATCGGCAACGGTCGCACTCGACTCGTTGTTGACTCGCGCAGTCGGGCGATACATAAATAAATAATGAAGACCGTTAAAGGCGCAGCCCTGCAATAGCTTGCTTAGGCCAACTGCAAACAGAAGAGACTTCTCCTCACTGGAGCGAACTCTAGTGTTGTATTTGGCCTACTCTTCCACGTTAACTTCTTACTTATGATAGCGGCAGCAATATCTGTGAAAACTTCTGGACGTCTGTGAAAAAAGAGCTTCATAGCTCATCGGATTCCTCCAGTATAAATAAATATTCTGATTTTGATGTTCAGGCTTTGTATGTCAAAGTCTGGATTTCCATAACGAGAGGGCTTCAGAGTTCGTGTAGCTTCCCTCCGCTTAGACTAAAATTAGAGCTTATTTGGACATCTTACAATGCACCACCACCACACAACATGATCATCAGCAGCAGTAGCATCAGCAGTCAGCATGCCTCGCGGGTCAACTCCGTAAAAACATCGCAATGGTCGAGATGGGGTGGGGGGGGGGGGGACGAGAGGCGACGGTGATTCATTGGGGGTCCTCATGACCACGTTGGAAAAAAAATAAACCACTCTCTCGCTTTGTATTATTTACCACACAGCAATGACCAATATCTCTCCCCCCCCCCCCCCGTAAAGCATTAGCAGACTTGTGGGGCAAGTGCTGTTAGCGAGTTATACCTATAAAGGCCGGCACGGCACACGAAGGAGGTGGCCAGCACCACACCCGGCCGCCTTTGTCTCTCCAGTGGCGATGTTTACTACACACCGCACCCGGTACTCGTTTGAGGCTCAGTGAACGCGTGGGTGTTTAACCCCAGCGGGAAACGACTCCGGAATGAACAGTGACCCGTGACCCCTGCTACTGCTGCTACTTACTGCTCCTTCTGCTGCTGCTGCTATTACTACTGCTGCTATTACTACTGCTGCTTCTACTGCTGCTGATGCTTCTACTGCTGCTGATGCTTCTACTGCTGCTGATGCTTCTACTGCTGCTGCTTCTATTGCCGCTGATGCTACTACTGCTGCTGCTGCTACTACTGCTGACGTTGCTGCTGCTACTACTACTGCTGGCTGCTGTAAACTGCTGCTGCTGCTGTGAGCTGTGAGCGTGCCTATTCGTTTCGCAACCAAGCCCCGACCGCAACCGGCGATTCGGCGTCTTCCGGGCCCGCGTTGGTGGAGGGCGCGAAAGGCCACAGAGGGCCTCGCAGAGGATCGGTGCCGGAGGCATCGCTGGCCCCCTGCGAGCTTTCCCACGAGAGCCGGCAACACGGTGGCGTCGTCTCGACGTCTTTCGTCGAGCGGCGATGCATGGAGCGTTCATTTGTGACGACCCGATCGATGCCATCGCCTCCTCCGTGTCACTATTCTGTCGCTACTACTACTACTACCACCGTTACCATGGTTACTGTACCCCCCTTCACCCCCCCACCCCCCCCCCCCCTCATTTATTCCTCCGTCACCCGTGCTGAGGGCTCGGTCGGTACCTGGCACGGGCCGTTTCGTCTCATCCACCACCACCACACTGCAGGTTACAACAACTCACCCACTCGATTCATTCACTCACCCACCCACGTACCTCCCCCCCCCCGCACATCCGATTAGAACGGTTGGTTACGTACGGTGCGAAAGAAGTTCCAACGTATTGCATACATGCTGCGCGCTAACCGCTGCGCAACCGCTCCCTGCACTAATGCACACACACGCGTGCACGCACACACTCGCAAGTACACATCCATTCAAACACTATCGAATATACACTCACATACGCATTCACACACATACACACACAAGCCAAATAAACCTCCCGTATACCCCCCCCTCCCCCGTATAACATACATATATTACCTACCCATTCACTCACCCAGCCACTCAGCCACTCACCCACTCACCCACCCACTCATCCACCCACTCACCCACTCACCCACCCACTCATCCACTCACTCACCCACTCACCCACCCACTCATCCACTCACCCACCCACTCATCCACTCACTCACCCATTCACCCACCCACTCATCCACTCACTCACCCACCCACTCACTACACTGCAGGTCACAGCACTTCTCCTCTCCCTGTCTGCTTCTTCCCTCGCACCGCACTCACTGTTGCCTCTGCTGCTGTTGCTTCTGCTGCTATTGCTCTTGCTGCTGTTCCTAGTGCTGCTGTTGCTCCTGCCTCTGCTGCTGTTGCTTCTGTTGCTATTGCTGCTGTGGTGACCTCTCCCCCGAAGCCCTGTCACCGTGGCTGGCAGGCCTCGACACTGGCATCGAGACAGCGGTGGTCAGTGTTCGTTTGTTGAGTCGTTGAGTCAGCTGGCCAGGATTGGGGTAGGGACATAGATCCACTTTTCATGGCAGGTACGTAGGCTGCCCAGAGAAAGTACACGCACATACCGTCACCATCATGATTTTATTCGTATGATAACACTTGTTTACCCAGGAACAGTAGTCACTGAGCCTCATGACTGCCAAGATTTCGCAGTGAGTGGTAACGGTTGCTTTGCGTGTGATCTCCATCGGGTCAGAAAAATCGGATGCATTTTGTCAAATAAGGCACACGTGGTCGCGTGATGCCATCCCACATGGCTCACAACTCTCTCACAACTCTCTCGTCTCCTCCTCTCTCTCACAACTCTCTCGTCTCCTCCTCTCTCTCACAACTCTCTTACAACTCTCTCGTCTCCTCCTCTCTCTCACAACTCTCTCACAACTCTCTCGTCTCCTCCTCTCTCTCACAACTCTCTCGTCTCCTCCTCTCTCTCACAACTCTCTCACAACTCTCTCGTCTCCTCTCTCTCACCCCCCCAAAAAAAAATAACCATCGCGACGATTTTAATTCACGTCAACTGTGAAGCAGGCGGGCGCGTAGTTTATTCCTGTGGCCTAAGCCGACGGGAAAAATCTCGAAACCACGAACCCTCCGCGGACGTAACGGCGGACTCGGAGCCCGCCCGCTCTTGCAGGCCGTCGCCCGCCTATCGCCGCCCTTAATCTTCCCTTTAATCCTTCTCGTGACAGACGCATAAATTGCCTTACGGGCTTGCCTTGAATAAGCCGGCCGAAGTGTGTCAGCGCTCTTGTCCGTGGTGGCGGCGGCGGCGGCGGCGATGGTGGTGCCGCACCCCAATGCCCCCAATGATTCCCCTTCCCACCCGCGCGTAGACACCGCGCTCGCTCCGTCTGGTGATTTGCCGCAAGTGAAACGTGTTCATTCCGTGGCCGTGCGCTCATTGTGTTGCGACCGGTTGACGTTCTACGCCGTGGATGTTGTTTGTTTGTTTGTTTTCGCGAATGGTGCCTTGTCTGCTACGTGCGTACGTTGGACTTCTATCGCGCCGCGCGTAGCAAACCGTGCGAATTGGAGGCGGCGTTCGGCGGAACGACATCAAAACCGAAGGCAAAAAGGGGTTCGAAATAAAATGAGTTTTCAATTTAGGGGCAGTGCCGGATTATCCTCGTAGCGAAAGTAGCTACACATGTAGTAGCTACTACACATGTTAGTACATTACATATGTAGTAGCTACTACGTATGTAGTGTAGTAACATATGTAGTAGCTACTACACATGTACACGTACATATGTAGTAGCTACGGGCCCCGCACTTTCAAGGGCCTCGGCGCTAAATGCTTTCAAGCTATCAATTCCGGTTCAGTGATTCTGCAATTGCTCTATTACTATAGTACTATACCGCCTTCGACTTTTATGAACGAGTACGTGTCTAAACTAAGCGATTTGTCGTATTATCCGGCTGCATAGCAAATGAAAGAGTACACTCTACTGTGCAAGTTAAACATCGACGTGTTTTAATCTTGATTTGAAGATTTCGTGACTGCAGGAATCCATACTCTTTGGTTCTTTCGGTAAAGTCACGTGACTTTACCGAAATAACCAAAGAGTATTTTTGTGTTTTAATATTTGTGTGTTTTATTTAAATGTAGGGGCCCCTTTATAACATGAGCTACAGGCCCCGCACGAGCTTATAATCCGGCACTGTATAGGGGCCGGGGTGTGAATGTCGTGACCCCACTGTCTAGATAAGAGGTCGCTCGCAAAGGAAAAACTCGGAAGCGGTTCTGCGTTATCGTCTTCCGCGGGCCGCTCCCTCTCAGGTGGCTCTCGCCGCGCGAGACTCCCCGGACGGGCGGATAACTCCGCGCCGTGGCAGCCACGTGCACGGCGCACAGCGTAGACGCGACGGCGGCGTGGGGGGTGACGTCACAATCGTCGTCGTCGCCGCCGCCGCCGTTGTCATCGCGCAGAGGAGTCGACCATCGTGAGACGTCGTTGTGACGCACGCCGCGCGCTCCTGCCACTCTCGTTCGTCGCAGAGGTCGGTGCGGGGTCGGTGCGGGGTCGGTGCGGGGTCGGTGCGGGGTCGGTGCGGGGTCGGTGCGGGGTCAGTGCGGGGTCGGTGCGGGGTCGGTGCGGGGTCGGTAAGGGGTCGGTGCGGGGTCGGTGCGGGGTCAGTGCGGGGTCGGTGCGGGGTCGGTGCGGGGTCAGTGCGGGGTCGGTGCGGGGTCGGTGCGGGGTCGGTAAGGGGTCGGTGCGGGGTCGGTGCGGGGTCGGTGCGGGGTCGGTAAGGGGTCGGTGCGGCGCGCGACCGGCGACGGCCGACGCCGAACTTCCGTTCCCACCGCTCCGTCGCGGTGACCTCGTCTGCTCGCGGGGAAGTCGCCCGCGTCGCCCAAGCACGTGACTTCGCAGGTGGACGATCGTTCGCGCGTTCAGTCGCTCAACCGTTCCGCCACTCAGCCATCGCTCAGCCTTTGGGGGAGAGTCTGGCTCCGTCTCCCGATGTCAGGACACGAGTTGGTGCCCCGCGTGGCATCGGAAACTCCCCCACCCCCCACCCCCCACCCCACCCCGCCGTCCCCCATAAAACACAATCATCGTCACAATCATCTTCATCGCTATCATCGCCGTCACCATGGTCACCGCCCCTCCCCGTGCCCCCTGCAGGAGCTAGCGCGGGTGGCCGGCGCGGCGCCCCCCCGCGTGGCATTGCAGGGCGTCAGAGCGGGGGCCGGGCATGGCGAGCGAGCTGGCGCTGCTGGCGAGGAGGGGGTGTGCCGCGTGGGCGGCCGAGGCGGTGCCCGGGCGACTCTCCCCGCTACTGGCGGCGAGCGCCCTCGCCGTTGGGGGGGGGCCGCGCCCCCCCTTGTTGGCGACGCGGCGGTAACGGAGAGGTGGGAGCTCTCACGCTTGCCGCCCCCCCCCCCCTCCCCCCCCCCCATTTACTCGCGTATTCTTGTACAGGGAAATGGACTTTGTAGGATGAACGTTGAGATTTATAAGGGGCACGGGGTGACCAATAAGGTCTGAATTGGTCTGTAATAAGGTAGGGGCACTGATAAGGGGGGTTGACAGGTACTCCACTACCCCCCCCCCCCCACCCTAATGCGGTTTGCCCGGCAAATAAAAAATGCGAGCCCAGGAGGAGTTGCCCCTTGAACGGCAAGTCGCTTTTCCCTGGACAGCCATGGCAAGCTTCTGGAGCTACGCGCTCACAGGAAGTGTGAGGTGGTTGTAGGCGTCAGAGGAGGTCCCTGTCACACCCAGGGAATGGCTCCGGCTCTCGGCCACGTGGCCTTACCCGGGGCCTGCCCCACCAGCAGAGGTGTCAGCGACCCGCGGCCTGTTGATGATACCGTAGCCACTGACTCAGGTCCACGTTGGAATTCCCTACACCTCTGCGGTAGCAGACGCACAGAGAATATGGCGTCCATGTAGGACCGCCCCGGTCTGAAACCGTCATTGAGGCTCCGCAAGCTTCTCCTCGGTACGACGTCGAAGAAATCCTCGCCAGGACCTTGCCCCGCGCTCGCGCTCAGCAGAAAGGGGGATTCCCCGCGGTAGATTGTCGCAGTCAGCGTTTTGTCCCCCTTCTTAAAAATGCGGACCACCAGGGCACGAAGCAGGGCCGTGAGCCAGAAAAAGTCACCTATTTTTATATATATTGTGTCTTTCCTTTGAAGGCCACACACACACACACACGCGCAGTGTTCTGATTGACGAACGCTTTGACTCTCATTTGTTGACCGTGCTTGTGCCAATGCAGCAGCAGCAGCATCACCAAATAATTTGCAACAGCGTCACCACCGTCACCATCGTCGCTATCCTCACCGCGGGCGTTGTGGGTTCGGCGCTGGTGACGGCCGCAGGTCCGCCGAGCGAGCGCGTGCCAGGACGAGCCGCGGCGCAGCGAGGATGGCGCCCGCCGCCGGATGGGGGCCCCCGCGCCGTCCCCCGCGACTCACCTCCGCACGCCCGGGGAGATCCGCGTCGCGGCGAGCGGCCCGCACGGACGCACGGTAACGCTCTCGGCTCACTCGCTCGCTCGCTCAGTGCTCGCTCACTCGTGCACGGTAACGCTCACGCACGGGAACGCTCACGGCTCGATCGCTCACTCTTGGATGGACGAACAGACGGACGGACGGTGACACACATGGCACGCTCGCTGGCGAACAGATGAACGGATGGACGGGTGACTAATTTCCGGATTTCTCATTCTTCATTCATTCACGAAGGATTCCGCGAGTTCGCTCACGAGTGACTCATTCAATTGCTTATCACCCTTGACTCGTTCATAGTCGAATGAGTGAGCGAATCGCTCACTGGGTTTGGCAGTTGTAAGGGAAGGAATGACTCCACGTGACGCCGATGCTGATGAAGTAGAGATGTAACGATTCACTCCTATGCCCTGCGCTATCTGATGAATGAATGAGTGGGGTCAAAGAGGGTGGTGTGGCCAGAATCACGGGCGGGGGTAGTGTTGGCCACCCGACCCCCGCATATCCCGTGCCGACCTAACAGATGCAACTCGTAAACGGCACTTGCCCCAAAAGTCTATGATGGCTATACGAGGAATCTTTGTCTTTGTGTGCTTGTGGCGTGCGGCCAACAGCTTCCAGCCAGTGTGTCCAGGACTCTCACGAGGTCCTACCACCACCATCACCATCACAACAACAACCTCAACCACCATCACCAGCAGCAGCAAGCGAGTTGGTACCAGCAGGCGAGGTGGTACCAGCAGGAGTCACTGCGAGGGCTCACGACGGAGGACGTGGGCAAGGCGCGGCAATCCAAGTGCCAGCAGACGGTCATGGTGAGTGGGACATGCGGGGAGATGGGGCCTCGGGGGAGATCCTGGGGTCTGTCTGGGAGAGGGAGCATAGGGGGTCTGTCTGGGAGGGGGGGGTGAGGGGTCTGTCTGGGAGGGGGGTGTAGGGGTCTGTCTGGGAGGGGGGTGTAGGGGGTCTGTCTGGGAGGGGGGTGTAGGGGTCTGTCTGGGAGGGGGGTGTAGGGGTCTGTCTGGGAGGGGGGTGTAGGGGGTCTGTCTGGGAGGGGGGGAGGGGGGTGTAGGGGTCTGTCTGGGAGGGGGGGGTGTAGGGGTCTGTCTGGGAGGGGGGTGTAGGGGGTCTGTCTGGGGGGGGGTGGGGTGTAGGGGGTCTGTCTGGGAGGGGGGTGTAGGGGTCTGTCTGGGAGGGGGGGGGTGTAGGGGTCTCTCTGGGGGGGGGGTGTAGGGGTCTCTCTGGGGGGGGGTGTAGGGGGTCTGTCTGGGAGGGGGAGTGTAGGGGTCTGTCTGGGAGGGGGGTGTAGGGGGTCTGTCTGGGAGGGGGGGGGGGGGTGTAGGGGTCTGTCTGGGAGGGGGGAGGGGGTGTAGGGGTCTGTCTGGGAGGGGGGTGTTGGGGGTCTGTCTGGGAGGGGGGGTGTAGGGGTCTGTCTGGGAGGGGGGTGTAGGGGGTCTGTCTGGGAGGGGGGGGGGGTGTAGGGGTCTGTCTGGGGGGGGGGAGGGGGTGTAGGGGTCTGTCTGGGAGGGGGGTGTTGGGGGTCTGTCTGGGAGGGGTGGGGTGTAGGGGGTCTGTCTGGGAGGGGGGGGTGTAGGGGTCTGTCTGGGAGGGGGGAGGGGGTGTAGGGGTCTGTCTGGGAGGGGGGTGTTGGGGGTCTGTCTGGGAGGGGGGGGGGTGTAGGGGTCTGTCTGGGAGGCGTCAGGGTCGGCATCAAACCCACGACCTCCTGCCTACCAGGCGAGGTAGTTAACATCTCGCCACCGCGTCTCGTGTCGCCCACAGCAACAGCTGAGCGAGCGGGCACGGGAGAGCAAGGTGCCCACGGGACGACTCAGTCGCATGGTCAACTTTGGTGGTGAGAACTCGCCCACTCACTCGCTCACTCACTCACTCGCTCACTCACTCACTCACTCGCTCACTCACTCGCTCACTCACTCACTCTCACTCACTCACTCTCTCACTCACTCGCTCGCTCACTCACTCGCTCACTCACTCACTCCTCTCATCTCACTCACTCACTCTCATCTCACTCGCTCACTCACTCACTCTCATCTCACTCACTCTCTCACTCACTCTCATCTCACTCACTCACTCACTCCTCTCATCTCACTCACTCTCATCTCACTAACTCACTCACTCACTCTCATCTCACTCACTCTCTCACTCACTCTCATCTCACTCACTCGCTCACTCACTCGCTCTCATCTCACTCACTCTCTCATCTCACTAACTCACTCACTCTCACTCACTCTCTCATCTCACTAACTCACTCACTCTCTCACTCACTCGCATCTCACTCACTCTCTCACTCACTCTCATCTCACTCACTCACTCTCTCACTCACTCTCATCTCACTCACTCGCTCACTCACTCACTCTCATCTCACTCACTCTCTCACTCACTCTCATCTCACTCACTCACTCCTCTCATCTCACTCACTCTCATCTCACTAACTCACTCACTCACTCTCATCTCACTCACTCTCTCACTCACTCTCATCTCACTCACTCGCTCACTCACTCGCTCTCATCTCACTCACTCTCTCATCTCACTAACTCACTCACTCTCACTCACTCTCTCATCTCACTAACTCACTCACTCTCTCACTCACTCGCATCTCACTCACTCTCTCACTCACTCTCTCACTCACTCTCATCTCACTCACTCTCTCACTCCTCTCATCTCACTCACTCTCTCACTCACTCTCATCTCACTCACTCTCTCATCTCACTCACTCACTCTCTCACTCACTCGCTCACTCACTCCTCTCATCTCACTCACTCTCTCACTCACTCTCATCTCACTCACTCACTCTCTCACTCACTCTCATCTCACTCACTCTCTCACTCACTCTCATCTCACTCACTCACTCTCTCACTCACTCTCATCTCACTCGCCCACTCACTCCTCTCATCTCACTCACTCTCTCACTCACTCTCATCTCACTCACTCTCACTCACTCTCATCTCACTCACTCACTCTCATCTCACTCACTCTCACTCACTCTCATCTCACTCACTCACTCTCTCACTCACTCTCATCTCACTCACTCGCTCACTCACTCACTCTCATCTCACTCACTCTCTCATCTCACTAACTCACTCACTCACTCTCATCTCACTCACTCTCTCACTCACTCTCATCTCACTCACTCTCTCACTCACTCTCATCTCACTCACTCTCATCTCACTCACTCTCTCACTCACTCTCATCTCACTCACTCTCATCTCACTCACTCGCTCACTCACTCACTCTCATCTCACTCACTCGCTCACTCACTCTCATCTCACTCACTCTCATCTCACTCACTCGCTCACTCACTCACATCTCACTCACTCTCTCATCTCACTAACTCACTCACTCACTCTCATCTCACTCACTCTCTCACTCACTCTCATCTCACTCAATCTCTCACTCACTCTCATCTCACTCACTCTCACTCACTCTCATCTCACTCACTCTCTCATCTCACTCACTCACTCGCTCACTCATCTCACTCGCTCGCTCACTCTCTCATCTCACTCACTCACTCGCTCACTCTCATCTCACTCTCTCATCTCACTCACTTGCTCACTCCTCTCATCTCACTCACTCGCTCGCTCACTCACTCTCATCTCACTCACTCACTCAATCACTCACTCCTCTCACTCGCTCGCTCACTCTCTCATCTCATTCACTCTCTCATCTCACTCACTCACTCTCTCACTCACTCTCATCTCACTCACCCTCTCACTCACTCTCTCATCTCACTCACTCACTCGCTCACTCATCTCACTCGCTCGCTCACTCTCTCATCTCACTCGCTCACTCATTCACTCTCTCATCTCACTCACTCACTCACTCGCTCACTCTCATCTCACTCACTCGCTCACTCTCTCATCTCACTCACTCGCTCACTCTCTCTCTCATCTCACTCACTCGCTCACTCATCTCACTCACTCGCTCACTTACTCTCTCATCTCACTCGCTCGCTCACTCACTCATCTCACTCACTCACTCGCTCGCTCACTCACTCTCTCATCTGACTCACTCGCTCACTTACTCTCTCTCTCGCTCACTCTCTCATCTCACTCGCTCGCTCACTCACTCATCTCACTCACTCACTCGCTCGCTCACTCACTCTCTCTCTCATCTCACTCACTCACTCGCTCACTCACTCACTCACTCGCTCGCTCGCTCGCTCATTCGCTCGCTCACTCACTCACTCACTCTCTCATCTCACTCGCTCACTCACTCGCTCGCTCACTCACTCACCCTCTCATCTCACTCGCTCGCTCACTCACTCACTCGCTCGCTCACTCTCTCATCTCACTCACTCGCTCACTCTCTCATCTCACTCACTCGCTCGCTCACTCACTCACTCCTCTCACTCGCTCGCACTCGCTCGCTCACTCTCTCATCTCACTCGCTCCCTCACTCCCCTTACTCGCTGCAGATGCTCACTCACTTACTCTCATTCACTGCCTCATTCATTCACAGACTCACTAATTAATTGACCACCTTTCTTATTCACTCATTCATTCACTCAATTACCCCCTTCCTCATTCACCAGCTCCCTCGTTCACTGAATCATTCATTCATTCTCACTCGTGCACTGCCTCTCACATTCACAATGCGCTCATTCACTATTTTACTCCCCCACCTCGTATAGACTACCTCACTCACCAATTCACTCACTCAGTAATTGTGGTGATGATTATGATACATTTGATGATGGTGATTGTGGGGGTAATAACAGTGAATTGTCGTTGTGACGATAATGGTGGCGGTGTTGGCAGTTGTAATAATGATCATGGTAGTCGTTTTGGTGGTTGCGGTTGTGGTGTTATCAGTTGTGGTGGCCGTGATGGTTGCGGTGGTTGTGATGGTTGTGGTCGTGATGGTTGTGATGGTTGTGGTGGTTGTGGTGGCCGTGATGGTTGTGGTGGTTGTGATGGTTATGGTCGTGATGGTTGTGATGGTTGTGGTGGTTGTGATGGTTGTGGTGGTTGTGGTGGTTGTGGTGGTTATGGTCGTGATGGTTGTGGTTGTGATGTGGCGGCTGCGGCCGTGGTTGCAGGCCTCGCGGTGGGCCTGGGTCTCGGCGCGCTGGCCGAAGTCGCCCGCAAGCAGCTGGGCATGGACAAGGTGCCCCCGGGTGAGCCACGTGGGCCCACAGGGGCCCGGAGGGGGGGGCAGGGGGGTGGCGAGGGGGGGGGCAGGCAATGGGGGGGGTGCTGGTGGGATTGGGGGGGGGGGTCCTTCAACCCTTAGTCCCAGGAGCCACGCCCACTGCGCTACCGCGCCCCCCGAGCTACAGGGAGCGCGAGCGAGGGGGTTCGCCCCTCTTGGAAGTCATCCAAGACAGAGTTGGCGGCGGGCAAGGGGGGGGGGCAGCGTTGTGCCGCTGCCGTTTTTCACGACACCGGAGCCCGTGGCACCGGGTGAGGTGGTGGGGGGGGGGGGCGCAGCTACCCACGTGGCGGGGGTCTGGGAGGGGGGGTGACTTTGAACAAAGCGGTGGGATGGTGTTGTTTTCATGTTGGTTTATTTTAGCTCTCCCGCGCTCTCTCTGTCTCTGGCTCCCTCTGTCTGCGTGCTCGCTGCCCCACATTGCCCCTGCATCCGGGTGTCGTCGAGGCGTTTGTCGCCACTGCTGCCACCGCTGCTGTTGTTTGTCTTCGTCTTCGCAGCGGCAAGAATGTGGGAGGCCATCTGTCCCCTGTCTCACGCTGCGCGTGTGTGGAGGTGTGCTGGCTAACAGCACTTGCCCCAGCAGTCTGTTAATGCTATATTGGGAACCTTTGTCTCTCTCTCTCTGTGTGTGTGGGGAGTGGCGATTGCCAAGCGGTGCTGGTGGTTCACGCGGAGCGCTACAAATCCGAATTGCCAAGTTCGATTCCCGCTCGATGGATGAATATTTAAACCGATCCTAGACTTCCCCCTGGAATGAGTACCTGCTGCGGTGTGTAAACATCGCCACTGGGGAGACAAAGGCGGCCGGGCGTGGTGCTGGCCACTCACACCCTCGTGTGCCGTGCCGGCCTTCGTAGGTGCTCGCGAACAGCATTTGCCCAAGCAGTCTGTTAAAGGCTATACGGGGGATCTTTGTCTTTGTGTGTATTGCAATCAAACCGGTTTCTTTTGGATTCTGTGTTGTGAATCCTGCTTTTATAATCAGCCGTGATCAATCTACTGCTGGACGAAGGCCTCCAGAAGCCACCTAGAAACTGCCTACGAGCAGCGATCATCTCTCCATCTCCCACTGACAAAGTTTCATGCAAACGATCAAGTTAGAAACCTGTAAACATGGAACCGTTAGGCCAACGATGGGCCAACGTTTTTCAACCGCATGCCAACGTTGGCCCAATGTTTGTCCAACATTTCCAAACACGTGCCCAACGTTGGCCCAACGTTGGCCCAACGTTTCCAACCGCGTGCCTAACGTTGGACCAACGTCGCTTGTTTACTCGATACGCCGCCGTAGCGCGCTCAGCGAGTTTGAAGGGGACCGGTTGGGCGAGTTGGGCCACGCGGTGGTGGCGGTGGAGGCGGTGGTGGCGGTGGAGGCGGTGGTGGCGGTGGAGGCGGTGGAGGCGGTGGAGGCGGCTTCGTCTCTCGGCCGCCTTCTGCGGATGATGGAGAGGGCGATGCTCGTTGCTCTCCTGAATTTACAAGAGGTTGTTTTGGTGCTTAGATCGCGTAAATATGTAGATGTATCGTGTAAACCCGCCACCACCCGACAGCCATTTAGTAAGGTTTGTCACGTGAACAGAACGTGGCAATTCGTTACGCGTACAGCAACACCGGTTGTGTGTTGGAGGGCAAAGCCACATCATTTACCATCTGAGTCCGACGTTTCGCCAGAAATTACAACTAGCTTCATCAGGCGACAGGCATTCAGACCTTATTGGTCATCCCGTGTCCTTATAAATCTCAACGTTAATCCTACAAAGTCCCATCACAAGGAGAGAAACACAAACCAATAGACGATGTTCTTGTTGTTGACCGTATCGATCCGATTGTACGCCGCATAGACCTGAAAACTCAATTTCCCTGTACAAGAATCCTGGGTGAACCTCATGGGTTGCCGGCTTCGTTATTGACACGGGGGGAGGGGGACGGTGCACCGTCTTACTCCCCTGAGCACCAAATAATTTATCAGCGGCCACGGTCAATCCACTGCTAGATGAAGGCATCCGCAAGAGTCGTCGCCGACCTCTCGCTAAGAATCCAGCCGGCACACGAACTGCTTTGATCGCTCCGTCTCCCCGGGTCGAATGTCCTCCCGGACGCGTCGCGTTCCTTGGCTGCAGCTCCGCTCTCGTTCTCGACCAGAGCACGTGGCCGTGTCGTCGTCTCGCGCAGCGAGAGGCTGTGGGGGGAGGGGGGGTCACGTGACGGCAATCGTACCCCTCCTGTCACCTCTCACCCCTCCTGTCACCTCTCACCTCCCCCCCACCACCTACTCGCCCAACCCCCTCACCTAAACACCCACCCACCCAGCCATTCAACTCGCTACCCAACCACCCCCCTCTAACCTCTCACCTCCCACCCACCCACCAACTCACCCACCCACCCCACCCACCCCACTCACCCACCCACCCCACTCACCTCAACACCTACGCACCCCACCCACCCCACTCACCCTCCCACCCCACTCACCTCGCTATCCACCCCCCCCCCCCCGTCTAACCTCCCACCCAGGCACCAACTCATCCACCCACTCACCAACTCATCCACCCACCTCACCACCCACCCACCAACTCATCCACCCACCTCACCACACATACACCCACTCTACTCACCTCACCACACACCCACCCACTCTACTCACCTCACCCACCCACCCCTCAACTCACCCACCCACCTCACCCACCCACCAACTCATCCACCCACCTCACCACACACACACACTCTACTCACCTCACCCACCCACCCACCAACTCACCCACCCACCTCACCCACCCACCAACTCACCCACCCACCTCACCACACACACACACACACTCTACTCACCTCACCCACCCCCCAACTCAGCCACCCACCTCACCCACCCACCCCCCAACTCACCCACCCACCACACACACACACTCTACTCACCTCACCCACCCACCCACCAACTCACTCACCCACCTCACCCACCCACCAACTCACCCACCCACCTCACCCACCCACCCCCCAACTCACCCACCCACCTCACCACACACACACACACTCTACTCCACCTCACCCACCCACCAACACATCCACCCACCTCACCCACCCACCCACCAACTCACCCACCCACCTCACCACACACACACACACTCTACTCACCTCACCCACCCACCTCACCCACCCACCCACCAACTCACCCACCCACCTCACCCACCAACTCACCCACCCACCTCACCACACACTCTACTCACCTCACCCACCCACCTCACCCACCCACCAACTCACCCACCCACCAACTCACCCACCCACCTCACCACACCCACCCACTCTACTCACCTCACCCACCAACTCACCCACCCACCAACTCACCCACCCACCTCTCCACACACACACGGGATACGAAACCACTTCAGCACAGCCCGGCTTGGGCGTTCCGCTGCTGGACGAGAGCCGAAGACCTCCCTACGACCTACACGGCTTGGGGGAGGTGGGGGGCGGGGGACGCCTTCATCCAGCAGTGGATCAGCGTTCTGTTTGAATAGCCGTGGTTCCGGCTCGCTGTTGCCCCGGGGTTGGTGCTGGTGGTGGTGGTGGTGTTTGTTTTGCATCTCGCCTCTCGTCGCGGTCGGATAGCGGCAGCAGCGGCCGCGGCTTGGCTAATGCGGCGAGAGCTGATTGGGATTCCCTCCCGGGTCTGCGCGCACGCACACTCAGCAGCGCTAAGCCCTGGAATCATCATCAGCATCATCAGCAGCAGCAGCATCAGCATACCACTGCTGTCTGTGTCCATCCGCGTGTACCTGTGTGTGTCTGTGTGTGTCTGCGCGTCAGTGGAGCGGTTAGCGCTACGCTGCTCTTCGAGCCCGGCGACCCGAGTTCGATTCACGCTCACGGCCAACAGGAGCGACGATTATTTGAACCGGTCCTGGGCCTCCCCTAGGTCGACCCAGCCTCAAATGAGTACTTGATGCGATGTGTAAACATCGCCACTAGGGCGACAAAGGCGGTCGGGCGTGGTGCTGACCACCCTACCCCTTCGTGTGCCATGTCGGCCTTCATAGGTGCTCGCTAACAGCACTTGTCCCAAAATTATGTTGAAGGCTATACGGGGGACATTTGTCTTTGTGTATGAACCCCCGTACCTCCTTGTTCCTGTTTAATGCCATCCCCAGTCACGTCGCGCCGGATTAACCTGGGTGGGAGTCGACGCATCTGGTGGTGGTGGTGGGGGTAGTGGTGGTGGGGGGTAGTGGTGGTGGGGGTAGTGGTGGTAGTGGTGGTGGGGGTAGTGGTGGTGGTGGTAGTGGTGGTGGTGGAGCAATGGTTAGCGCACTGTGCTACGGAGCCAGGCACCCAAGTTCGCTCACGACCGACACCAAATGACGATTATCTGAACCGTTCCTGGGTCTCCCCTAGGTCGACTCAGCCTCAAACGAGTACCTCGTGCGGTGTGTGAACGTCGCCACTGGGGGGGGGGGCGGTGAGGGCAAGAAGGAGACAAAGGCGGCCGGGCGTGGTGCTGGCCACCCGCCCCCTCGTGTGTCGTTCCGGCCTTCTTCGGTGGTGCTCGCTAACAGCACTTGCCCCAATAGCCTGTGAAGGATATACAGGGGATCTTTGTCTTTGGTGGGGGGGAGGAGGCGAGGGGGGGGGCGAGGTGGGGGGTGAGAGTAGCAGGCACACACCACCAGGGACAGGTTCAGACCCCCATAAAACAGACGACGACAACAATATGAGAACATACACGAGGTGGGGGGGGGGGAGGTGGTGGGGGGGGGGTGGTGGGGGGGCACGCGTCCCTCTGTGCTAGAAAAGTACCGGCGGCACGCTCAAGAGATCTCTTCTTCTTCTTCTTGTTGTTGTTCCGTTCACTCACCCGTCCTTACAAACAACAACAGCAGCAGCATCAGCAGCAGCAGCGGGACAAAACAAAACGCCATCGCCCATCCCTACTTGCTGCACTGCCCGCTGCCGCCGCTGCTGCTGCATCGCGAAGCC